AAAAAGATAGAATTGATGTATATAACAGATGTTCTTTAATTTTTCAATTGACTTTTTCACACAAAATTAATGACATTAAACTTCACTTCTTTAAAGAATGAATTTAGGACTCGATTTTTACTTTTTTGTAGAAGAGTTTTTTGAGTTTATGTCAGCTTTCTTTAAAAAGTCTTTTAGTCAGACAAAAAAAATTAACTAAATATGTTAAAAGCATTTATTTTTAACTTTTAAAATGGCCTACGAAACAGATCCTTAAATGATAAATTGAAAATAACAAAATGTCAAGTGCTGTGTTGAGTGAAGTGATATTCCTGGGAGTTAGCAGTCAGTGGAATGTAGAGCCAAGTGCAAACAGACAAATCAGCTAACATTCTTGGGAATTGTGGAAAGCGCAAACATAGATTGGCTTTGCCATTTCTCTATTGAATCATGTGCCTATCGAAACATGGTGGAAAATAATTAACAAAGAATTAAGTGGAACAACATTTTAATTTATAAGGTCTTTTTTATGCAAGAATTTACAAACAATTTCTTTTCTCATTTTCATTTAGGGTCCGTTTGATTGCAAGCGGGAAATTTTGGTTGAAAGAAAATGAATTTCAAGGAATTAAATTGCCTAGAATTCTTTTCCTGAAAATTGTCAATTAATTGTATTTGATTAGTATAATTTTTCAAGTGAAAAATATTGAAATTTTGGATCTTCTGATATCCGTTTGACTTTGTATTATATCAAAATTGTTTATTAAAGGGATTTTTTTTTTTTACAATTAGGGATAGAATTTGTTTGCATTGCAAAAAATTTTTTTTAAAAAAAGCTAGAAACCAAAAACCACCAAAACCACGGGAAAGCAAATTCAAGGAAAATATGAAAAATGATATCACCTAAGGTGAAGTTGGAAAATCAATTGTCTAGAAAATTTTGGCTATCAAACAGTCAAAAAGGTAAAAAATGGAAAATATTTTCCAACTTCCATGAAAAATTTTACACATCAAATTGGGGCTTAGATTAAATAATCCAACCATTTGCAACGTTAGTGGCTTCCATTAGATGCATTAGAGTGGAAATGAAGAAAATTTGGAATGACATGAACCTTACAAAATCATTACTTTGCCTTGTCATTTAGGGTCTATAGTAAAGCGTTTGAAAAATCAAAAATTGCTTTTGAAATTAAGACATTATTTTTGAACATGTTTGCTTATTTTTTGAGAGTGCTTTGTTAGTTAAAAGAGTTTTTAGAAAAAAACTAACTTACGATAACTTTATCAAGAAACTTTTCTACAAAAAGTGGAAGGGAATGCAGAAATCATTTCAAATGGATCGTTAATACTCTCTACTAATACTTCCTCAACATGTTATGAAAGTTAATTTAAATAGAGTAGAGATGTATAAAGTATCAAGAGACAAACCCTAGGAACCAAATATTATAACTTATAATTTGTTAATCAATTTTGCTAATTATCATATTGTCATGCGTTTCTTGGATTAGCTGAAGTTTATTCAATTAAAGAATACCAATGGCCTATACAAGACATGAACCATGGAAGTGAGAAAAGCCAAGTTGGTCCACTTTTATTTGCTCATGTGTTGTCTTTCTCTAAAATCTCAATTTGGTGGCTTTTATGTCCTCTTGTTTCTGTCCCCAATCCCTCAAAAGGAGGTTTAATCCAGCAATCTTTGACTGGACAGTTCATTTGGTCAACTAAATTCAGTGTATGTCAGTGAAACTATCCAACTAGGGTTAGACAATGTGAGCTTTGACTTTCATACCCACATAAATCTTTGTTTTGCTCACATGATCTAATAGTTCATGAACAACAACTTGGATTACTCTCATGTCCTGAAGGCTTTGTTCTCTTTAGAATGCCTTATTATAATATGCTAAGTTCAGTCACATGTATTTTGTAATTGATATTTAACATACAATATTATTGATTTAAATAAAAAAACTATTATGTATATTGATACACATTGTAAAGAAATTAAATGGTTAGAGAACCAAAATGTTTCTTTTAATTTTATCATTTCATAAATAAAAGTGTGTGTGTCATTTTTATTATATCATTTCCCTTTAAACAAGTTCGATTTTCACAATAATAATATTTTTTAAAAAAACAACTTTATTTTTTTTATGAGAGTAACTAGAGTATAAAGATTAAGAATAATTCTACAGGTACAGAATAATTTTACAGGTTTTTGCAGCTATCTTCCTATGATTTGCTGTTGTGAGAAACTGTTTTTGATAGCTGATAGCAACCAATCAGTTGTCTTCCTGTGCAAAAACTTGTGAAATTTCTTGTACTCATAGCCTTGTTCAAAGATTAAACAGAAGATCTTGAAAACCGTAGCTATATATAAATAAAAAAATATAAGTAGCTAATGTTTTCAATGCAAGTGGTTTGTTAATTGATATTTATTTGAGATTTTTAATGTAATTTCCGATGACTCACCCTTTTTGTTTGCTTGCAGACCTAACTTTGAACAGTGGCAGCATTTATGCATGTTTATCTCCCTCTGCACAAAAAGCCAGACAATCAAATCCTAAACTTGTACTACTATATATATGGGTAAACTAACTCGCTTCCTTTTGAGTTCAGAAACTGGTCAGAAGTGAAAGAAAAATTTCCAGAAGCTGTATATTCACAGAATTTGAGTGATGGATGAAGTGTCAGGCTTTTATATTAAGCAACTCGGTGGTGGCAATAATGGCGTCAGTGGCGGCACAGGGACCAAGTGTGGGAGGTGGAATCCAACGACTGAACAGGTTAAAGTTCTTACAGACTTGTTCAGGTCTGGGCTCCGAACTCCTAGTACTGATCAGATCCAAAAGATATCTTCTCAGTTGAGCTTTTATGGTAAGATCGAGAGCAAAAATGTTTTTTATTGGTTTCAAAACCATAAAGCTAGAGAAAGACAGAAGCGCCGCAGAGTTTTGGTCGATGAACCTAATGAATTCCACCACCAAGAAAAGCTTTCATCAACGAAATGTAAGTCAAATTCTTGACATATCCATCTTCCGATAAAATGATAATTCGTGTTTGAAGGGAACCTAATGAATATTTTGTTTTTGTTTCTTCTTTGACAGATGTTGCAGAGTTAAATCAGTTTAGTTCTGAGCCTGAAAGAGAACTGGAGACTTTGCAACTATTTCCACTCAACTCATTCAGGGAGCCGAATGAGTCGGAGAAGCGTAGATTGTTTGCAAATGATTACTGCAAAGAGAATTCATACAGTATTGGGACGGAAATGGATCGTCCGACATTGGATTTACGATTAAGTTTCCACTAAAAGAAGGCTGTCTGAAAGAAAATGTTACAGGGATAAAGCCTTAGCTAGGTATAGCATGCAAGAACATAAAATTCAAAAAAATATTCAAATTTTATGATTCTGAAAGTTTAAGCTATGAGATTTACAATGCTCTTAGCTCGAGAAAATGAATCTGTGCTTTGAAGGTTGAAAAATGCTTCGACATTCTCCTCTGCATGCTCGTAAATAAAGCATAGTTTTTTTTTTAAATTATTATTCTACTGTTTGATTTTAATCCATATGTTTGTCTCTGTGTGCGTGTTTTGAAATTTGATTCCCGATTATTGTCGCATTGAATTGAATTAAAAATTCTGCAAGAGACAGGTGGTACCTTAGATCTTCCTCTTTTCACACTGTATAATGGCTCGATGTCTGTTCAAACTATAGTAGTCATTGTTTAATCCTTATTATTTTTAAAATATATTATTGCTATCTACGGCCAACGACTGTTCGTACTGACTTAAAATCCTGGATCCGCCCCTGCTCATAGCCTATGGTACAACCTTAACTGCCTACAAACTGCACTTTTTGTAGTAAAGGAAGCTGTAAGAGTTTGTTTATCAATTTCCTATTCAATTGTCTCACTTCTCAAAATAAAATCTTATAGCAAAAAATCCATAAACTTCAGTTAATTGGACAGTTTAGCATTAACATTCTCTAATTATTAACATAATAGTATTAAATATACTTTGAGCGTTATAACGATACTCAACAATTTTAAAAGTAATAATGTTTTTATGCATGACCCAAAGTGGGTCTATATAGTGTGCAGTTGCAGCTATATAACCTCTCTTATTAATCACTTCCCACAAAT